GGGAATCTACAACACTTACATACAAATGTTTCCTGGCTCAACCACTTCTTTTTGTAGTCTTACTTAAATCTGAGTACCATTTAAATAAACACCTGGAACCTCATTAGAAACCAGACACATCAGCGTCGCCGCGACTTTAATCATGTTAACTTCATTAACAGCAGGAGCTTCTAAATCAAAACCGTCCAGTTTAAACATTTCCAGATGACTTCTTAGAAGTATTTATGCACGCTGTGTTAAACCAGATACTTTATGTGCATATTTACTGACTTTTTTACCCCACGGAGTAACAGCACCGCCCACCAAAATACAAACCTGGTGGAGTTCCAATCATCTTTCCCAACGCTGCCACCTTGAGTTTGTAACAGTATCAGCAGCAGCCTTCCTTTAACCTGCAACACAACAGTGCACGTTTCAACATTTAACTCTTTATTGACCCTTAAAATATTATTTGAACATAAGTGCAAAATAACATTTAAACTGTTTATAATGATATTAAATGTAAGTGAAAATTATACGTTTTATAAATGTACAGTTGCAGTATGTTTATACCTGTTTTATACAGTGCATGGTTTACATATATGTGCAGTATGTAAGAGACTTCACTTTGTCTAGTTGTGCGTTGTGGACATTTTTAAAAGATCTTCCTGTTGTGAAAATAATTCATGTGAAATCAAACAAGGTTTTCAAGAGAAACATCTGGTGTCTCCAGCCGGGTTAGCTCGGTACAAAGAAGTGTGAATAAATGATTTGAATTAAAGGAGAATAGCAGCACCGACGTGTAGCTGACATGCTTTTAAACTATCTGTTGAAATTTACTGATGATACTGCGGTTCTAAGCCTTCTGCAGAAGGATATATTAAGTGGTGTGACACTAACTATCTAATTTTAAACATAAAAACACAGGACATGGTCTTCGACCTGAGGCAGGTTACCGACCATGAGGCTGTGGTCATTAGAAACCAGGAAGTAACTCAGGTGTCCTCATCCAAATCTTTAGGCGTCCACATGGACAGCCTGTGTGACCAACTGCAGCAGATCAGATCATGATTTGAGAGCGTCATCAGATATGGAACTACTGCATGGTTCAACGACGGAACAGTTCAGCTGTAAAACGTGCACAAAACAGCCATGAACATTATAGAGACAGGCTGGGTAAATTACTTCAGACTAGGGCTTCAAGTTCAAGTTCAAATTTATTTATAAAGCAAATTTAAAAACAAGCCCTAGTTGATGAAAATGCTTTCCAGGTTCAGAATACACAACAAATACAGACGACAAAACAGGAGAAAAGCCAGTGATGTCAGTACTCAACTCTGTTTTAAGGCTAATGAATATAGATTGGTCTTTGGCAAGGATTTGAAAATAGCTGGGCAATATGCCCCAAAGTTTCTACACAATAAAATATTAGGCCATTCAATATCAATAATATCAGGATAAATGTCAAATCATTATTTCTTTTAGGTTTAAAGTCTGATTTTTGCTCCTGAGTGAAAGTTAATTGTGGTTTTAAACTTTTCTTTCTGGTCGGAACAAACACTTGATGCCGAACAGTGAATCACTTCACAAATCTGAGACATTCAAAACTATTATGACAAAATCTGTTCAATCTGTTCCTTTTCCTCAACAAAATAAATACCTTAATAGAAAAATTAAGTGCTAATCCTTTTGTGATTCAAATGAATTAAATCAAACCTTTTTTTATGTTTATTTGTTTTATTTTATTGAGGAAATTTATACTGCGATATTTATCATTGTTGTTTTATTGCCCAGCCCTACTGCAGACTACCAACATCCCTGAATACAAAACCCGGCCAACAGGAAGAAGACTGCGTGTACCAATACAAAACCACCTAAGTCACCTGAAGTGATCATTTGAGCCAGCCTCCATTAAGCCGCTGAATAATGTGCAATAAACATACTAGCACCTTAGCTTTAATCCATGGCCCCATGTTGTCACAATATCCCTTCCTACCACACCAAGTCAGTGCTTCTCAGGTTCGTGTTGATGATGAGCAACGATGCACTGTTCCCAAACCAAATTTCCGTTGGGGACAATAAAGTTTAACCTAACCTGACCTCACGAGGACCTGACGGCTGTTTGTTCTGCAGGTGAAGTAGTCGAGGGAGCGGTGAAGAAGGCTTTGGGTGGAGCTGAAGGTAAGAAGGAGGGAGCAGCAGCTGATGCAGGAAAGAAAGATGACAACAAGGCAGGATTCGATGCAGGAGACGTGCTCTCATTGGTTGGTGTTGGTGACAAGAAGGAAGGCGAAGGTGAGTCCTTCAAACCGACTTAAGGCCTCACAAACATTTCACTGCAATTGCTGTTCAGCCCAATGGAGCTGCCACGGTTAGTGAGTTTGGGGAGTCCAAACATGGAGGAGGCTGTTAGCTTCTCAGACTTTGTTGCACCATTTGCTTCTATTTATTTTTCAAACAAGCTAACAAGGTTTTAAACTGACTCGTTATTTCCCCTTTTGAGTAACTTTTGTTTGTTATTGATGATGTACAATAATCAACAAAATGCCAGGGGAGTAAACAGAACAGTAAGAGAAAACCCAGGCTCTGCTGTTGTGACTGACTGTTGTTAGCAGTTAGCTTAGCAACTAACGCAGTGAGAGGTTGTACTCAGGTACAGCATCGTCATGCAAGCGTGCTAACAGTGCCAACGCTAACATGATGATATCAAGTATAATGTTTGCCATGTTCACAAAAAGCGTAAGCACCAAGTACAGGTGAAGCTGATGAGAAAGTCATTAGTTCTTCAGCAACCAAAGTTCAAATGTGACGATGGCGCTAGATGAAAAGTCAGTACAGAACATACTGATACATACATGTACGTTCAGGGGTTAGCTAGTAACGGAAAGAAGGACATAACAATTAGGAATTTAAAACTGAGTTTATTCTGTATGTCAACAACATATTCTGGTATTATGGGGTACAGAATGACCTACTGAGTAAACAAACAAAGCTAATGTTAGCTCACTTTGCACAAGCTCAAGTGTCAGAAACCAAAACTTTCTTTCTTTTTCCTTACAAATTCACCATTTGTAAGGAAAAAGAAAGAAGTTTTGACAACAATTTGCTGAGACCAAAGGCCAGAGTTTGCAGCTGTGAACCTGATCTGTTCTTCTGTGTACATTTGCCCAAAGGGTTAAGGAAGTGCTGGAAAATAAAAAAAAAATTTTCACTTAGGGGTGTGCTCACTGTTGTTGCCAGCGGTTTAGACATCATTCTGTGTGATGTGTTATTTTGTGGGGACAGCACATTTACACTGTTATACAAGCTGTACACTCACTACTTTACACTGGAGCAAAGTGTCATTTCTTCAGTGTCGTCACATGAAAAGATATAATAAAATATTTACATAAATGTGAGGGGTGTACTCACTTCTGTGAGATACTGTAGGCGTTTTGTGGATTGTTTTTAAAAATCTCTGTCTTGGTCACTTTTCTCAGGCTGGATGTGAAGAAGAGCCTTGGAGGACTCTTTAACTAGAAACCCTGAGGACCTCCAGCTTCAATCCACGAGCCTCCATGTGCTGCCAGAATGATTAAAGAATAATTTACCTGTTTAGAAACATGCACAAGCTCATAACTAAATGTTTGATTAAACGTAAATAACAGAATTACTGGCTTTATGGTTGGCCCAATAAACATGTTTCTGTATTCTTCACTGGCTTTACACCACGAGAGAGCTGACAAGCTTTAATCAGTAAAAATGTTTTATCTGTACTGATGACATCTGGTAGATCAGTTATGAAAATGTTAAACTGGATTTTTGTGAAAATGCGGTTCTTAAACAATGTTAACAAATCTCTGATGCCACCTGGAGTCGACCAGCATTTCAGAAATTAAATTAATTAAAACACTAGTGCAAATTGTGTCTCCTGTATTTTGGTGCTGATAGTAATTAAATATGAACTGTCTGATGTTGCGTTTTGCTTCTTTCACTGCATATTCAGCAGAAACTCCAGGTTTTAATTTGATCAATTAGTAGGCAATAAACTGTACATTTAAAAACACAATACTCTTTTAGAGATGCAGGTGATTTCAGTTAATGTCAGTGATGTCAATACAACATGTTAATAAATTAAACTATTAAATCATACAAATATCAAAAGTCTTAACTGTGTAAACTGTGCAGCTTATCAAGTCATTACTTTAAGCTTTTAGCAGTTTATCTTCCTAAAATGCAGTTTGCTAGTTTCCAAAGTGTCCCCTGCAGAAAGCCGAGGTATTTAAAGAAACAGTCTGACAGTTTGGGAAATCATCATTTGGTCAGAAAGTGCAGGATGCCTCCCTGGTAACAGCAGGTTGGGCTTTATGTTCATATAGACAACAGATATTTTATTTCCATGTGTTGAAGCCATCACAGTGAACCAGAGCAAGTTGACCAAAACATTTCCCAGCAGCCACTTCTCCACAGCAGAGTCCAAACAGTGCTTCCTGTTCTCTACAGTTAGGTGTCTTATTGGAAATGGTCTCAGTAGATGACAGGATCTGTCTCGTCTCTATCCTTTCTATTGGCCTCCATTTCTCCTCCTGTTTCCTCCCCTTTCTCTCTCTCCCTCTTTCTCTGCCTACATGAAGCTGACTGTGGAAATGTTGTCATCATTCATACTGATGGACTGCTGATATCATTGCTGTCCATTCTGCAGCAACACACAGAGGCCAAAAGCTTGTCTATGAACCCTTTCCTCATGAAGACATACAGGAACAAGTCTGCAAGAGGACTCAACTTAACAAAGATGAAAGACAGACCTAAGTGGATAAGGTCATTTTTTGATCCCAGGAACAAGCGCTCTTGACTGAATACTTCCAGGTACCAAATGATGGTGGGCAGGAACATCGTATAAATAAGCAGCAACAGAACCAAAACTCCCACAATTCTACGTTTTTCATCAGAGGGGACCGAGATGGAAGCAGACAGGGCTTTGAGGGTCCCAACCAGGGAGAATATTAACATTGGGAAGGGAAGGAGGAAGAGGATGGGGTAGATTATTGCTGGGACCAGATAAACGAAAAAGAAAAGGACAACACAAAAAGGAGGAAGGACCCAGACCAGGACACAGACCACCACAGAACTCTTGATGGTTCGTCTGAAGCGGTACCACAGCGGTGGGCGATGACCAAATACCTGTAATACAAGATGGACACAAAGTCTTTGAGGAGCTTCAGAGTTATAAACTAATATAATGTTCAGACACAGAAGGAGCTCCACACATACTGGATAGACAGACAGATACCTTTCCAGGGAGATGCAGACCATGAAGTAAACACTGGTAAACAGACTAAAGACGTAAATACAAAAGGACATGACAGATATAATCTCATCCTCAGGTGGTGCCACTTCAACGATCATGCAGCAGAGCTGAAGCAGGTCGGTAATGAGAAGGTTGATGACGTAGATGGGAGCAACATGATCACTTCTCACCTGCAGGAAAACATTGGTAAAAGTCAACAAGCAGTTGGAAACATGTTGTGAAGTCCACCTCCTCCCAAATCTGTCATCTTGCTCTGCCCAGCAGCTGCAGTCAGAGCCATTTCTGACTTTTTCATCCAACAGTAATCTCAGATGTGACACACTGGCCAATCACTGCAGTACAGTTAAATTGAATAAATGCAGGCTTACATTTAACTAGAAACAGTTATTATAAATGTTTCTTGCTCTGCATGAGTGGAACAAAGACAATGTTGCTAAAGCGAGATTTAAAAAAGAAAATCATGGATGCAAGCTAACTTCCTCTAGCTCAAAAAAGAGCAAAAATCTGAAATCATCATCATCCACTCAAAATCCCTCATCAGTCCTTTCAAAACTTCTCCCTCTGCATCGATGGTTCGACTGTGATGTGTTCATCATAGGGCGTGCCCGTGGCGAGACGTCCAGGAAGTTGTTTTAACGTCAGTGTACAGTACAGGCTCAAATCTGCCAATCTCCAACGGGAGTTTGTTCTAGAGTGAATGAGAACAGTCCCACCTGAACACATCCATGTGTCAATCTTCACATAAAGTCATAGTGCCACCTAGTGGCAACACTAAGTGTCAAGATTTGCCCTGTCATGTACTTCTCCAACCAGGTTGGCCAAACCCACCTCAAAACTGTTGAAGAGCCTCAAGACATTTATGATGAAACTTTTTTCTAAACGGCGTCTCGGTGGCGTGGCGTTGAATTTTGATGCTTTGCCTCAAGGCAGGAAGTTGTTGTAACTTCACTGTGCTCATATCTGTACCAAATATTAGATGTTTCATAAGGGTCCCACCCTGAACAGGCCAATATTCACTCAAACTCATAGCACTATCCCTTCAATGAAGCAGCCCCTGCACCCTGTTTCGCCTAGATGCAAGAAACCTTTGTTACACATGTATCATACCAAGACACAGACAAAAGCCTCTTGGAGCTATACCCTAAACCCAACAGGAAGTCCACCATTTTGATATGAATGTTCAATTCCAGCCCATTTGTGGCTGTTTACAGTTTCCATACTTAAATGAACTCCTCCTACAGAATCTGATCAACTTCAAATTTTGGCAGTTTAATCTATATAAAAGGTCAATGAAAGTTGTTCTATCTGTGAGTTTTCATAAAAGATGTGTCCGTAGCGCAGCGTTGAATATTGATGATTTGCCATGAAACAGGAAGTTATTAATAATTTCAGTGTACGTGCTCACATCTGAACCAACTTTACATGTTTGATAAGAGTCCCGCCCTGAACACATCTATTGGCCAGTATTCCATTATAAACATAGCCCCACCTACTGGCAACAGGAAGTAAGCTTTGTGTGACAATTATCACGTGATTTACATGAAAGAATTTCACAATTTCCTCAAAAAAAATAAACAAATACTGCTGCACAAACTGCTCTGACTGTTTGATGTTTGTCTTGAGCTGCAACTAAATGGTGCCATTAACCTCAACAGTTTAAGAGAAGGCTGGATGGAGCCACACATGGAAATTGCATCTGTTTAGGGTCCAATCAGCTTCATGGACAGACACACGACATAGACAGGAAATAAATAACTCTCAGTCAGAATGTACATACCATAGAATAAAGAGCATAGATGGCCACCAGGGTCAAAGGAAGGCCGACAACAATGGTAACGCATGTCACCACATATATGACATCAGGCTCATTATATAGGTACTCATGGATGCTCTTTTGGTAGTTGCAGGTGATGTTGCTGTAGTTAAAGCTTTGGTCCGGTAAAGTGCTGTTACTGTAGAGACCTTCCATTCTTCATAGTGAAACCTGTTTGAGAGATCAGGTTATTAAAGGGAGCAGGTTTTTAATATCTACCTAACATTGTTCAGTGACATCACTAAAGCTGTGAGGGTCACACAAATCAAGCACAGTTAGTTCAGGCAGGCAACATTTACATTTACATTTACTCATTTGGCAGACGCTTTTATCCAAAGCGACTTACATTTGAGGAACAACATACAAGCATCAACAGAGCATCAGCTACAGCACGAGATCTACAACTGACAATACATATTAATAAAAGCAGCAATAAATACTAGTAAGAGCTGATAGCACATATCATAAAGAGTTAACAAAAAGTGCAATCAATACAAGATAATTGTAAGGGGATAGAAGAAGAAGAGCACAGGAAGTGCGTGTTAGATGTTGGGAGTTAGAGGTGTTATAAAGTCAAGCTCAGCTCACAATTTCAGCACAATAGCTGATAGCAGCCATCTTAATCCAGCCACATCAACTGACAGCTCAGCTGATTCCTCTCTTAGCATTCATTGGCTAATTCCATACAAGACACTTCATTAAAGCTGCTTTAGCCCGCCTGCCTGCTCATGGCCTGCTGCAACCCCAAGCTCCGCCTCTCCAGCGGTATCTGATCAATCATGTATTTGGTAAAAATGGCTGCTCTGTTCTGTACCTGGGGGGCTTCGCTGCTGCTCTCTGCCTTGGGGTTTCCATGTATGGCCATGGATGGTCAGGATGGGCAGGGAGGTGCTCTCCAAGCTAAAACGTATAATATAATTGACTTGAAATGATGTTTCTTACATCTTCAATACCTTCCCTGGCCACAGAGGAATGTGCTACATTACAGAGGAAGTCTACCAAATTGCCAGTAGCATGAATTATAGATTTCAATAACAATTAGGCTACATTTTGTGTTCTCAGGTGGATTCTCTGCACTCCCTAAAGTGGCTTTAGAAATGAACTGGGACAATGCTGCAATATTTCCTGACAACATGAGAGACCAATATGTCATTATTTTTTAAATGGATTAATTGCTTTTTGATGTACAGTATTCTTTAATGTCAATGTCAATTTTATTTCTATAGCACATTTAAAACACCAACAGTTGACCAAAGTGCTGAACAGGGTCAGTGTCAAATACATAAATAACAAGTATAAAAATTACTAAATCACTAATCACCAAAGTGAAACAAACACTCTAAAACATCAGAAAACAGGTTAACGAAGGTTAAACGCTACTGCAAATAGGTGTGTCTTAAGCAGCGATTTAGACTTATTTTTAAGCTTTGATTTTGGGACATCCCGGAGCAGCTGATTTGTTGACCTCAGTGTTTGTACTGGAGAATGGTGGCATAAGAGATCAGCTAGATAAGGTGGCGCCAGAACATTTAAGGCCTTAAAAACAAGCAATAAAATCTTAAAATCTATCCTATAACGGACAGCAATTAAGGAGCATGTGTTACTTTTCCATGTGTATGTAATTTATTTGGCATTGGTGGCATAAAGGTTGTGGTTGTTAGGTTTCATAATTGTATAATCCTTCCAAATAAAAGTCCCAGTTCACTGGACCAAGTATATAGTGTACTGTTCATTAATGAAACTTAAAATTTTTCCTGGGATCACTCATCTGCTCAGAGCTTAGGAGAGAAAAAAATTAGAATTGTTAATACATTGTGTTACAGTTTTGCTTACAGTGTGCATTAAAATGATCACTTTCAAGTTTCTAGATTTCCAAGCGCGTTTCCTCAGAATCTCTTTTATCTTTTATATCTAGGTCCAAGACAGTTTGTAAAACACATATAAATTAACACAGCAGGAACGGTGCACCTGTGGAAGTCCTTAAGGTAATACGTACTACATTGTCACACTGGCTTTCAGACCGTACAGCGTCAGGTTCCTGTTACAAATTGTAGAGCTTTCCAGCAGGTATAACTTTTGATTTACATATATATATATGAATATAAATATATATAATATTTTTATTGATGAGTCAAAGGCATTTGAAAGAATTTATCATGAGCGTTTGTTTGTAAAACTGCTAGATAGAGGTGCCCCTAAATTTTTAGTGAGAATTTTAGTGTTTTGGTATGCCCATCAAACGTTTTTGGTTAAATGGGACAATGTTTTATCTGCTCCCTTCCATGTGAGTAATGGAGTGCGACAAGGAGGAATTATGTCTCCTATTTTATTTAATGTTTATATGGATGAATTATCAGACCAGCTAAATAGGTTAAAAATTGGTTGTTTTGTGGGCAACGCTGTTGTTAATCATTATGTATGCAGACGACCTAGTCCTGCTATGTCCATATAGTGCTGGGCTGCAGCAGATGATGAATGTATGCTCTCAGTATGGCCTTGATTATGACATAAAGTATAACGCTAAGAAAAGTCACATAATGATAGTTAGAAGCGATGAGGGCAGGAATTCAACGACCTTTTATTTGTCAGATAGCCCTCTTGCTGTGTGTGAGGAAGTTAAATATTTAGGTCATGTCATATCTAATGACTGGACGGATGACAAAGACCTATACCGTCAGCGCTGTAAAATTTATTCTCAAGCTAATGTGCTTATAAGGTTTAGAACCTACATTAAACCACTATATACTGCTCATTTGTGGTCTAACTATAAGAAAAAGAGTATGCAGAGGATTAAGGTAGCATATAATGATGCATAATGAGGCTGCTGCTTTGTGTCACTAGGTGGCATAGTGCTAGTCATTTGTTTGTGTCTACTAGATTAGATTAGATCTTAAGACAACTCATGTTTAGTTTATGTGTCGCCTGGACAAGTCAGAGAATCAGATAATTGACGCCTTAGTCAGTCCTCTGAAAAGATGCTATAGATTAGGATTAGGTTTAGGATTACACGAATCCTTCTCTAAAACACAAATTTAATAGTTAGGGATGCACTGGGACCGAAATTCAGCCCGGGACTTTGAGATGGAGAGGCCTTTTACATGAGCACCCTTTTTCCAGTTATTTAACACTAATAGCTAGGGGTGTGACGAGACACTTAGCTCAGGAGAGGTTCACAAGATCCAGAGGAGATTTTTACACTGTCTTTAAGAAATCTTAAAGGCTGAATTATTGAAAATGTAACACATTAAACACCTGGACTTTAGTAGCTCCTGTGTTTCAGCAGGTTTTCTGCTCATGTTCAAAACGTTCTGCACATTCTGAATCTCTCCCACATCTCTGTGTCCTCTGACATGTTCAGAAAAAGGCAGAATATTACCAGACTAACGTCATCACTTAATAAGAATTCGTATAGTTTTAAAAGTCTACCTGCCCTACACTCTGCTGTGCATTACATTATTGCCTTATTGCTCCGCTGGTGGTTTCCCCTTCAAATCGACTGACACAGTTTGGGACTGCATGTTACGATGTGAAACTGAAACTAACTGAAAAATCCACATGTTCACTTCGGCAGCTCTGGACTGTACTGACTCTGGTGTTGACCATTCACCCTGGTACATCTGTATGTAATGCAGTTGACAAAACCCCAGTACTCCTTCACTGCACTTTATGAATTGGATTGGTGGCACAGCAGAGCACAGGACAATTAAGAGATTAATTTAACTTGGTGAACTTATGTTCATGTAGGTGGTTCTGCAGAAATACAACAGAAATAAATAATAAAGTTTAGGTCATTCACAATACAGAATGCCTATTCTGTACATGGGTCTCAAAGTATTCTTAACAGAACAAAGTAGGTAATTTAACTAAGGTAAATAACTATTTAAAGGTTATACCTTTACAAGTAAACAAACACCAGTAATATTAAGAACACTAGTCATCACCATAAGCGGTAAGATGAGATTCAGATCAGAAAACACAGGAAAAGAGCACCATCATATTACCGTCCAAATACT